TTACTGTATGTCTTCATTCACTTCACTCATTGTATCTAGCAATATGCTACTTCTGGCTCCTCCTTAAAGTCAAAATAACCATGAAAAGTAATTGTTTTGAATAGATTCAGAACATGGAGGCAGCCATGATGGTACAACTAAAGACACTCTCGAAAGAGGACTTCCAGAACTGCTTCAGAAAGTGCCAAGAGCAATGGCATAAGTATGTTGGGAGCAAGGGGGAGTATTTTAAGGGGAACAGCAGCAATGCATGTTTTACTGTAATCAAAATTTTAAATGTAAACATTCACTGTATAGTTTGATCATACCTTGTATTATTTTCACTTATATCTTTACATAGGACAAAATGTTTTTATGATAATAGGCTCTGATTGGTGAAGAAGATCCACAGTAAGTGTAAGAAAAGCATACCATCCTCTATGTGACACTAGTAAGTTTGCATATTAGTCTCTGTAAATCAATCCCTAACTAACATGCCTAATGATCAAGTGTAGTCTGACAGCGCCCTGCACTCAAAAGATCCTCTGCTTGGGTTTAATGACCTTTGGTCAAAATTTTTAAGGATTTTATGTCTGTATTGGTATTTTGTAAGTGAGGTCTGTGAGAAAACAGAGCATGTGCACTGGCTTGGAGTTGCTTGTGTGTTATCCTACTTCCTGCCATATTTGCACCTTACTGGTGGGACTCTTGGCCACCTGCCCTCCCTGCCTGGAATTTCTCCCCACACTCTCAGGAAATGGTAACCCAGTAGTGGGCATGGGAGGGCCAACTGAGTTGCAGGGCAGAACCCCTTTGTGTTTGTAAGATTCTGCTGTGAATACCTCAAGCTCAAGGGAGCAATACCTTAAGTAGCAAATAAAAAACAACATGATGGGTCCAGAGAAAGAACATGGGAAAGTGGTTTTTGTTTTCTTTCCCTGCTTTTTGAACAAGGAGTCCCAGCTTTTCATTTTGCTCTGGTTGCAACAACTCTGAATCCGTCCCAAGCATTCTAAAGTCTGTTGGTTTCAGCTGCTCGGAGACATCCCCTAATCATACTCGTGTAGGGGTCCAGAAAGCGAAATAGTTTAGGACCAGAAAGACTTTGTGGGCCTGGCAACTACTCACCTGCTGCAGCAGGAAGACAGCTCTGGGTGGTACACGGAAGGGCACTGCTTGGTCCCAGTAAAACTTTTTTTAGGGACAGAAAAATTTGAGTTTCACACAGTTTTCACATGTCAGAACTATAATTCTTCCTTTGATTTTTTTAACTATTAAAAATGTAAGAAACATCTTTAGCTCACAGCCTTTATCAAAATCACCAGAAAGGGTGATTTCTGCTGGTAGTCATATTCTGAGGTAGGAGTTGGCCCTCCCATGCCCACTACTGGGTTACCATTTCCTGAAAGGGTTGGGCCTCTGAGCTGTAGTTTTCTGACAGCTGTTATGCATTCATATGTGGCTTGGAAAGTAGAGATAAGCATGCTGGACCTCAGGCGATGGAGGTGTTTCAGAGAGGAAAAGCCAGAGAGCACAGCTCATTTTACATGGTGACACTTGGAAAATTTCATTCATAATTTCAGTGAATTTGTGAAAACTTTCTCTTACCTAATGTCTCTGCAGAATTCCATTTGAGTACTAAAAAATCTAGAATACATTAAAATCAAAGTTTTCATAAATGTTCTAGACCCATCCTCTTTTATACCGATTTTTAGTATTGATACCATCTCTTTATTCTTTTCTCCAACTATTGATATTTCAGCTGTCCCTTTCAATCAATCCTGCTTTTGTCTGTCATATTTTGAGGTTCTATCTGCTTTTCCTTAGGTTTGATCACATGAACGTTTCTTCTGATCGAACCCTACCTGCAAACTACTCATGTAATCTTAAGTACAGATAAATCATCTGGCCTCTCTCAGCCATGTATTCCTTCCTAGTTAGGTTAAATAATGCCAGTGGGCACAACAGACAATCCCACAATCCCAATGACTTAACATAAAGGAAGTTTATGTAAATGTCTTGTAAAGCCCAATATGGGTTGCATGACCTTCCTTCAGTTTGCATCTACAGAATCTGGATGTTAAGAGGGATAGTGAAATTTTCCATCTACAGCTGTATTGCCCAAATCAAATGCAATAAAGGCTATGAAATAAAGGGAAGCTATGGTTATTATTGTATTGAGCACTATAATGATCAGTAAATTTATTCCCTAGGCTTACTTTCCACCTGCCTTAAGAGCCAGGCAGTGAATATTTTAGGTGTTATAGATAATGGATTCTCTCACAGCCGCTCTTGAGAGGGAGAACAGCCATAAATAAGCAAATGAATGAGCAATGGGCATAGCTTTTTTTCTAATAAAACTTTATTCTCAGAAATAAGAGGGGGACTAGATGTGGACCACAGGCCATAGTGTACCAACTCCTACCTCAGAATATGACTACCAGCAGTTCTTACTCTTCCTTCCTTCAAATGCTCAGTGAGCTTTCAGTAGTTCCTTCCTCCTCAGTATTTTACATATTGGCTCACTGGAGACTTCTTACTTAGAATCGATGGTTACAGCCCATCAGATACCACGTCCAAGAGAGTTAACCACATTACCATCTCCTAAAAGCATCGATATCTCCGATCGTATCGCTGTTGCTTTACTACAGCATTTTATATCTTGCCTGGAATTCTGTAACATTTTCTTAACTAGTCTCCCTTCCTCTTTTCTTATCAGACCAAACATTCTCTAAACTGCTAAAGTGAATTTATTACAGTATTAACCCAATTATGAAGCATTCTTTCTTGGAAATCATGTTTTGATTACTTAAAACATTCGGGTTAAAGATCAGATTCCTATACATGGCTTTTAGAAGCTTTTATGATTTGACCTCTGCAACTTCCAAGACTTTATGTCTTGAGCCCACCAGTGTCTTTGCAAACTGTACGATAGCCATGCTGAGTTATTCGAAGTTTTGTACCTCTTTCTCCCCATCTCCCCATCTCTCCTTCATTTGCCTATCAGCTCTGCTTCACTCAACTCAGCTATGAGTCACCCGTTCATGGAACCTTTTCTGATCACCTTCCTGAAGCAGAGGCCTACCTTTTGGCCCCCTTATATTCTAGGCTTCCACGTATTGTGTCTCTTCCCTGTGCACCATCTCTCCGCTCACCTCGATTCTCCAGCCACCTGAAGAGTAAGGACAATGTCTTACTTTTACTCCTGGTGCAGTGCTTACCGTGCATTTACCAATAGCTGCAATTTACTGTGTGTTCAGCAAATATTTATAGAATGAATTAATGCGGCAGAAAATAGACTGTTTGTCTTCATGACTGAATAACAAATTATGTTTTTAATGGAATTAGAACTGTAGGTGGCCATGGTTCAGAAACATATATTTGAGAAACATTTGGAAGCAAGGAAAGCAAATACATCAGTTGGTTTGACCTTTATAAAACTTATGGGATGGAACATTAAAGAAAATTGAATATATATATATATATATACACACACACACACACACAATACAAGAGAACAAAATCTAGACTGATGGCCACACCAGTGTCCCAGCTTATGGCCCTTTAATTGCTGTTGCAGAGCCCAGAGGAAAGGACACTGAGTGTGAACTGAGATTCAGTAGCCCCAAGGATAAACATTTGATGAGAAACCAGGCCTAACATTAAACTCTGCTCTTTTATACTTTAAAAGCAACTAAGTCTTGTGTATGTGCTAATTTGAATTCTATTACTGAGTGCATGTGTCCTAGTAATAAATGATTTACACTCTCATGTAGAACAATAGTCACACCTCTCCACTTTGTCATAAAACACGGCAAGATAAAAGAAAAAGTATATTGTGATAGTTTCATGTCTTATATTAAAAATTCCATAAAAGCAGATGTTCCTTATGTGATTATGTTACATTATGGACTGAATGATATTTTGTAAAAAAAGAAAAAAACAGGATGAGCAGAAAGAGCCAGAGTATTTGAGTATCTAATCTATGAGTACGATGATTGAATTAACAATCATTTAAGGGCAATGAAAACAGTAACAAGCCACAAACTTATTGTACTTCGGTGAAAGTAAAGTGCAATAAACTTCACTATATTATACAAGGCTTGCATTTAATCTATTGTAATGTTTATAATAAATTATTAATATGTCAGTAAATAAACATAAAGAATGCAAAGTAAAACTTATATTGATTCATGAGAAATGGACGCACATCTGAGAGCCAAAAGATTGCAATTTTACCTAAGGACAATGTTAGACACTTATGTGGGCAGGAAAAAAAATGAATGTAATTAAAATATAGGCAAGACCAGAAAACTGCTATAGGGAATAATATGTTAGTGACGAAGGCTATGGATTATATCTATTATTACTCCATCATTTTAACTTTTATTTTTAAATTGACTTTCCTTGGTAGTTGGGGATTAATTAAAATCCTTAAAAAAGAAAATGAAAGTTCAGTACAAATACCAAGTAGATTCTTAGATCTTAGAAAATGTTCTGTATAACTTTACTTAATTCTGATGATTAAATTCCAGCATATGGTACTTGGGGACAATATCTAATGCTACCAATTCCTTGGACTATATAAAGAATCAAAAAAAGGGGACTGCTTTAATTATACTTCAGTGTTGTAAGGGACCTTTTATTATTGGATTTTATATCCTTAGGGTCTAGCAAATGCCAGATGTTTAATAAATGTTAGTTGAATGAAAAGTGACTTAAAGTTGTAACTTTCAAAATTGACCATTATAAATGCTGTGCAGTATGTCTTTTTTATCATCTTTTGGGGGACAAATAAAAGTCAATCCTATATCAACTATGCCATCATATGTGTTCATTGAATGATCTTTTCATTATTTAACTTATCAAGTAATTTACTATCTGTTTCTAAGCCCCGTCATATTTAAGGAGTAGAACCTAGAGAACTTAACTGAAGTTGTCACAGATTAAATGAATGGAGAGATTGGGCTAAAGATAAGTAGAGTGATATTAATCCTCTTGTCACATTTGTTTTTTTTTAGCCTAAGCAACGAACATCCATTGTGTCTTCTCTGGATTTTCATCGAATGAACCACAACCAAGAATATTTTGAAATCAGCACGTCTACAGTGTGTACCAGCTCTACTTCCAGCCCTCCTGTTAGTCTGCCCACATCTTCTGTGGGAACCACGGACGTCAAGAACGAGGGAACTGACCACACAGGTAACAGCAGTTCACTGTGTGCAGTTGTACTTTTGAGCTTGTAAGACTGGAGCCTTTATAATTTAGCAGAATTAAGAGGAGTCTTCATACAAATTATATTTTTGGTTCATGTACATGTGTGGCAACGTTGGGGGTTAGCATCTTTGTCAGAGTGTGGGTACAATATTCTTTTTCAATACATTAATGATCTTTCAGGTATTAAAGATGATTTAATGTTATTATGGTAATAAAACAGCCACAGACATAGAAGTGTTCTTCTTCCACTGCAATATAGCCTTCTATACAGAGTGGTATCAACTAATCAGCATATGACTTTGTGGATAGCTGCTTTGAGGTGTATCCATACCAAGGATATCTGGTAAGACCAAGTTGGAAAATGTTGCCAAGGTGGGCTTTAAACCTGCTCATTCCAAGATGAACTTGGAGAGGAGGGGTGTAAAAGTAAGGAGAACATTAAGGAAAGCCACAGCACCCACCACTAAAACATACTTGGTTCTACTCAGTCAGATTTATATTTTTTTTTCTTTGGAGAAGAAAGAATTCATAATTAACTGATAAGGCCCTAGACAAATATGAGAAGTGGAACCCAAAATCTCTTACCCTTCTGTCTAATTTACAGTAAGTAAACTACTAAATTACTTTCCTTCAAAAGTGATGCAATTTTAAACCCAGCAGATATGATTAATATGCATTTTAGAATCAGAAATATTGTCAGTATGGGCATTTCATGTCATTTTTGTTCAGAATGTGTGTATATATGAATATATGTATATACATGTATATATTTAAGTCCTTTCATCTGACTGTACTTTAAAAAGCACTGATATAAACATTCTAAAAATGTAGCCAGGGAGTTATTTTCTATGAGGAGGGAAAAACTGATTTCAAATGTGATGACTGATGGGAATGGTAAGATCCACATTTTTTGGAAATTGTAACCCTACCTTCCATAGCAACTAGAGCAGTCATTCCAAGAGGTAAATAGAGCTTGGTATTACCATCCATAAAATGCACCAAAGACCTCATCTAGTTGCACTTAGAATAAAACACAACTTCTTATCATGGCTAGTGAAGCCCAATTCAACCTGGCCCCTATCTCTAATTTGATCTGTGGTCCACTGTGGTCTTCTTTGCTGAGTATCTGACTGAGGCACTTTTGCACTTTGGTCCTATCTACCTTCAATCTCTATCTCTAGATTTTCTTGTGATAGAGTGTTATTTCAGTTTTCACTCAAATGTATTTCCTTGTACAGGCTTTCCTGGACAACCGCATTTTAAGTACAAGGTCTCAATATGGTGCTAATTATAATAATAAACAAAAGGACAGTGATAATAAATACATATTTAAGTATCCGTGTGAGTCAGGCACTGCATGTGAGTTGTGAGAAACACAACTTAGAAGGGTAGGGGTTTGTCTTGGCTCACGGTTTCTTAGGTTTGAGTTCCTGGTCAGCTGATGGCATTGCAGGAGGCCTGTGGTGAGGCAGAAGCATGGTGGCAGCAAAGGGACATGGAAGGAAAGCCGCTCATCCCATGGGGAAAAAGTGAGAGAGCAAGAGGCCAAGGACAAGATGGTGTCCTCAAGGTCATGCCTTCCCAGGACCTACCGCCTTCATCGATGCACCACCTCCCAAGTTTCCACTACCTCCCAGTAGCACCCTCAATGGATTCATCCACCGATGAAGTCAGAGCCCTTATGCTCCAATCACTTTCCAAAAGTTCTACCCTTCAACACATGAAATATTTGGAGACCTTTTCAATCGAAACCATAACAATGCTCTAGAGACTTTACGTATATCAATTTATTTAACCTTATGACTGCCGTATGAATTAGGTATTACTCTCTGCAGATGACAAAACAGATGCAAAGAGAATAACTAACTGAATACAACCCATACAGACAGAGCAGTGCTGTAAGGTTGGTGCCTGAGTCCATGTTCTCAAGCACTTCTCTGCATGGCTCTAGTCACTTCTCTTTTCTCTCTTCCATGGTGTTATTTATGAGACAAAATAATACTGATTACTTCTTTGCTTCTTTATTATCTTCTCTCTTTCAAGAATGTGAACTAGAATAGATGGGTCTCTGGCACATTATAGATGATAAAGTCAGATTGCCTAAGTTTGGTTAGTAATTAGGAGACTCAGTCTTTCCTCTGAGTTTTTTGTATTAGAATTTTCTTATCTATAGAATTAGATTAACAATGAATTAATTAGATTAACTTACCCTGTGGTGCAATAATGCATGTAAAGTGATTAGCATAATCACTGGCACATACTTAGTGCTCAATAAATATTAATAACTATTAGAGTATCAGCAGTAATTATGATATTAACATAATTCTTTGCAATTTGCATCAAACCTAGCATTCACTCAGCTACCATTTATTGTTTGTCTGCCATGTAACAGATGCAGTTTTATAGCAGAGGAGAGAGAGAGGATGTGATTTGTAAAGAAAAATAGCATGTGGACCACTGAAAGGGTTCTGGGCATATAATTATTATTCAGTCAGTATTCATTTGACTGCCTTGCTCCAAATTTTAAAATTGTAAAATGGGAGCAATGACGAATATTTTGATATTTGGCTTTAGGAAACTCTGTCTCAGCTTTATTTCAGTGAAAACATTATTTTTCTGATGATTAAGTTTTTAATTTTTTCAATAATCCTTTGAGGTAGATGAAATATTATTTCCTCTCTCTATGTCTCCCCCCTCTTTGCCCCATTCCTCCCTTCCTTCTTCTCTTCCTTTCTCCCTTTTTCTTTCTTTCTAATTAAAGCTAGAGAAGTTACAGATCTTGTCTCCAGGCCCTAGTGCCTCTCTGCACTCTGAGTGTGCCCGCAGAGGGAGAGGATAAGAACATACTTTTCATGGTGCCATGCAAAATGTGTGGAGCAATTTTAGCCATGAAGATGTATTTAGGTCTGCCTTTAAATAAAACTAAAATCCAGCCTTATAACAGTTGAAATGGTTTCCAGTAGCATGTTTCTATAGTTTTCTAACATAATGTATTACTTTAAAATTTCATCAAAAGTTTTAAAATAGTCAACAGTGTGGAAAGACAGTGCTGATTTGCCTGACATTAAACAGTAAAACTTTAAATGTTTAAAGTAAAACTCTTAAGGTTGACCATTTATCTGTCTGAAAAAAGTATTTATTTAAGAACCTTTATCTAAAGACACTGCCATGCAGTAGGCATTGAAAGAGAATGGACTTGAGTCAGTTCCCTTACCAATCTGCTCCAAATTTCCCATCAAACCACCTAACTTTTCTGATCTTCACTTTGCTCCTCTGAAAAGGGAAATAATATCTAGTTCTAGGGTATTATAGTGGTAAGTGATTTTACTTATGTGAAGGCATTTTATAAACTGTGAATACTAATATTATTTAATACTATCACCATTATCAATTAATATCTTATTTCTCTTTTCCAATATTTTTACTTGAAATCTATGATAGTTTTAGGATAGCAGAGCCCTCTGTAAATCTGTACTCCTTAGGTAAGGTGATTAACCTTCTCTTGTTTCTGAAATATAATCTAAACTAACAGATGCATCTACAGTTCAGTTTGTAAACAATTGTTTGCACAAAAATTAATCTTAACAAAAATGGCATTTAATAGAACAAAGACCAACTGCCTTCAAAACCAATGGATTTATTATAACATAGGGCCCTTTAACAAGTATCCTGAACTGTGATTAAAATGTCAGTGTATGACTCATCAAAACAGGCTGTTGAAGTGGAAGGGCCTTGGTGTTAGACAGACTGGGGAATGATATAAACAGGTTGCACTTGACTAGAAAGATTAGTATTAACATACAGTAAGTAGATTTGAGATGAGCTGAAATTGGAAGTGGAGAGAAACTGTCATCAGCAATGGAAAGATGTAAGCAAATCTGAGAGATCAAAGGAAGCAACAAACAACAGACCGAGGCATGGCTATGCAAAGGTGAGGGAGAAGAGTTCAAGGAGGGCCCTATGCTTCTAAACTGAAGCAGATGAGCCCAAGCTAAACTCTGTTGCTTGCAACATGGAATGTTTGTAGGCACAATGGTGAGGAAAGGCATATAGATTATGTAAGGATGAATAGGCCATTTAAGGACTTTGGTTTTGATTTGAAATGAAATGGGGGTGTGGCCAGGTCTTTCAGAAGTCACATGACCTAACCTCCGCTTCATAAGATTCCCCTGGCTCTTGTGCTGGGCATGGGCCAGGGTGGTGGAACAAGGGTGGAAGCAGGCAGCTAGATTGGAGGCAATCACAGCACTGCAAGAAGATGAGAGAGGAGGGCAGCCCCGATCTAAGGTGAGGCAGTGGAGGAGGGGACAACCAGATGGATTTGGGTTGTGTTTTTTAGATAAATGTAATAGGATGTTATGGAAGAATAGATGCAGTGTGTGAGAAAAGAAAATTAAGGATGCCTCCAAGGTTTTATTTTCCTGAACACCTGGAAGAAAGGATTTCTTATTGTATCATATACAAGATGCTGTGAGAAGAGCACACTAGGGGAACATGGAGTTAATTTTAAGCTCCAAATGCCTACTAGATATCTGAAAGGTGTTGAGTAGGCAGCTGAAGGTTCAGTCTGAATATAGACATGTGAACATCGTCATTATATAGATGATATGGAGTGAACATAGATAAAGGGGACTGAACACTGAGGTAGGTGAAGGAGGAGATAAAAAATGCCAGCAGGAGCCACCTGGAAGGTTGGAGGAAATCTGCTGAGTGCTACACTCTGAAGTCAGGGGAAGCAAGTTATTAAGAAGGAGGAAGAAGTCAACTCAGTCAAATGCAGCTGATGCACTGAGTGAGACAAGGGCGCGGTTAAAGAAGTTTCATGGATTTAACGATGTGGAGGTTACCGCTCACCTGGACAAGAGCAACTTCAGCGAAATTAAGGGGACAAAGGCCCAACATAGCGAGTTTAAGGAAAATGGGAGGAGAGGACTTACAGAGAGCAAGTATAGTTTCATTCATAGTTCAAAGAAATACGCCAGGCT